AGCAGAGCACAGACAAAGCCTGCACAAAGGTGCTGCCTCCACGATCTGTGAGCAGATCTCAACAGAGACAGCTGCTGCAGGAATGTTATTTCATGCACTTTTCGGAATTTGTTAACACACCTGACCCAGCTCAGCTTCGGCCTGAACTTCTTCACACTTCATCTAGTCAGACACGTCCAAGTAATTTGAATGTTTTATCTTTGAAGCATCAATTTTCAAAAAAGAATGTCCTCAAGTCTCTAAAACTCTACTCCCAAACAATTGTGAAGATTCACTCTCCCAGCACAAGGCTTTGTTAAGCTTATTTCTAGAGCTGTTGTTGACAAATGGTTAGCCACTGAAAGCTAAAGATGTCTGTGCATGTTAGCAAACTATTTATGATACTGTGAGAGCTCCAAAATGAAGTATTTTAATGAACTGAAACACAATCCTTTTTTGTCCACTTCCAACAAGCAGGCTGTAGTCTTGGACTTACAGTGGTAAGTGCATGTTGTGCCTTTAACTGCTTTATTCCACCAACAGCCACTCCAGCATGAGCATCTGACTATTCTTCCATGATTCTTTTCAGCCCATCAAAAATTGCTGTTTCTAAGTACCCCGGTCACCGGGATCCTGTACAAGTACTTCCTCTAAACAGACCCTTTTCTTGTCTTAGTGAGCAGTGTTACAAAAAGTCATTTGGTTACACAAAGACAAAATGCACAAACTTCCAGGAAGATTTCCTGGACAGAGGATGGCAAGGAGCAGCAGGGGCAGTTTCATGAGGAACCTGCAGAAGTCTCACTAGCTGCTGTCAGGACAAGCAGATTTATCCCTCACACAGGGAAAGCAAAACTGACTTTATCTGACGGTTATGGACAGTAGCGATTTTCAGTCTACTCTACCTCTACTAAAACCATGGAAAAGAAATTAAACTTTACAGTGTCACAATTTCTGTCTTGCTTGACTTCATATCTGATTACCAGAAAAAGGGACCTACCCCAAGTTTATTCAGGGAAACGCTGTGTCTGTGGGATACTGATGAGGAGTTCATTTAGTGGTCTAAAGGAATGGTGCCTGTTTCCTGCCTGTAAACCTGGACTGGTGCTTGTTTGTGATTTCTCATATAACACAGTTTTACAGCCATGTACACACACACACCTTCTCCTAAGGGAAAGCCTGTAAGGAAAAGACACACCACTAGTCTTTGAAGTTTATGTTGCCATTGCTTGAGAAAAAAAAAACCTCAAACAAGACACTAACAGTTTCACTATTTATTTGATATATTGTTCCAAATTTGGGGCAAAGGTAGCTCCATTGCAACATCCCGAACTCCACCAAACACCGCAGCTGGGTGGAAAAGGCAGTTTGTATCACTTAGGCCTATGTATCATCCTCCTCTCGGGTCCACTTGAGGGAAACAAAGCACTCTAACCGTAATATTATAATGGAGATTAGTAGAGACCCCGCAGGGAAATAAAAAACTGTGTGTCCTTCCCGGCTGGAAATGGCACTTTCAGTAGCATCAGCAGCACAAAAGCTTCACCATTAGCATCCAACTGAAGTCATTTTCTGTCATCAGGCCTCGTTCATATGTAAACCAGCAACCCTCCAGCCTCCCAGGGAAAGGTCTCCCACCCCCCACACATGCTCTCCTCCAGCTGCAAGCAATACAGGTGCTAACTTATGCAAACACAAGGAAAACTCACTCTGCTGGTTTCTGGCTTTGGTACGCTGCTTCTTCTCCCTCCACCCTCTGCCCTGGCCTCTGGGTGACTTCACTCCTCTCGGTGCTGATGACTTTCACACTCACCTTTCCCTCCTGATCCCTTCTGCTTTTCTCCCTGTAGTTCTGGTTGATGCTTCCCGAAACTAGACATGGGGAAAGCAGAACCTCAGCTTTTCCTCCTTCAGTCTCTTACC